TATATATATAGTGAAAATAGGCTTGGACATAAGATAAAAAATACAATAAAGTTAATGTAAGTATTTAATGCTTTTAGAGTCCAAAATATGCATGTTAATCTATAATTATCGATTCTCTGGAAGCAATAATGTGAAAGCATCAGTACTTGAAGTAGGATTTATTGCCAAATTACACCTTTTCCTTAATTCTGATTGAAGGAAAGCCCTCCCACATTCAGTTGAACCTATATTTCAGCTGTCAGAGCTGATAATCCAGTCGATCCAGCGGCTGTAGTTTCTCACTTTTGTGTAGACGCCAGGATAGTACGGAAGAGCACAGCCGATTCCCCAAGACACAATGCCTTCTAAAGTCCCATCACAAATGAGAGGACCGCCTGAATCGCCCTGTGAAAGAAGAAAGATTAATGTATTTCACATGTTTTTATTTAATCCATTTTTCTCCATCACAAATTACATTATCCTTATAAAAATGGAACAAAAACAGAATATTTTTTACATTAAATTTTTTTCTGTTTTCCATTCTTCAAAGGGAAATCTTAAAAGCATTTTTAAACACTGATACCGAAACCATCTGGACACTCTCGTTACCTGCAAAGCTGTAAATATGACCTATTGTGTAACTAAATTAAGTTATCTCACCTTGATTTACACTAACATAAAGAGGCTGAACATAAAGCCCTGAAAAGCTGTGCCATATCAGAGTATATCTAATGTCTCCATGAATTGTCAGCAATGGACTGCACCCTTATTCCCAGAACGCCTTATTCCTAGAAAACCCTTTGGCAGGACCCTTGGGAGGGTTTGTTTGCCATCATAAATTAGGGAAACTGCAGACTGCCATGAAAATACAAGTGTGTTTGAGGGGTCAAACTAAACTCTGAACAACTTTAAACAACACTTATAGTTTGTATATTTCATAAAGTGTCTCTAAACAGGGGTGGGCCAAAATAATCATATAAAAGATCCAATAAAGTTAATTTAAGTATTTAATGTTTTTTAGTGTCCAAAATATGCATCTATAAGATTCTGGATGCGATAATGTGAACGCATCAGTACTTGAAGTAGAATTTATTGCACCAATTAAAACTG